GGACTAACACCGAAAACGAAAGAAAAAAAATTGTTTCTCCATACAAACTAACAACATTTGATTGGTCATTTAAATGGAGGGCCATTTTTTTTTTTTTGACGTTGGCCAGAAAAAAAGTTGCTGTTTATAGTGTTACAAACACATACCTAAGAGTTTTAAGTGAATACAAAATCACCTGTATAGAATTTCATCTATGTAATATGTATTGAAAGATCCGCCAAAAAAGTCACGGATACGGATACGGTTACGGATCTCTCTTCTCCCTTGGATATCCGCGGATACGGATACGGATACGGATATCCGGCACATCACTACATAAAAGTAAGCGTGGTCCAATAAAGCAAGTTCTAAAAGCGAAGCTTTAATCGTAAACATAATAAAGAAACTGCCTATATATGTCTCCCATTTTTCTTTTTTTTTTTTTCTTTGTTAAAAAAGACAACTCCCGCATTAGGAATAAATCCTGTGTCGCGGGGGACTTTACAAACATACATGAAACGGACACAAAGAACACCCAGACTCAGAACAACAATTTGTGGATTACACAAAGTGTCGTCCCATGTGGGGTTTGAACCCACAACACTCGGCGTAGTAGGAAGCGGCGTGGTGACCGCTTAAACCACTACGCCATCCGTGCAGCGAGCAGCTTGTAATGACGCAAATTTTTTGCGATCTTTTCGCTTTTGCAAAGTTTTTCTAAAATTATAAGTTGTATTGCGACGAAGCGAAATCGGCTAGACAAACGGTTCTCTTTTTTGAAAAAGTAAAACGTGTATTTTTAACTAACTTCAATCTTCGCACAAAACCTTTTGAAAAAGAATATATGCAACCAATGTGACTTATTTTCTAATAAAAAGAAACAAAGCTCAGAAGAAGAAAAGGCTCTGGTGGAAGACGCTCAACGATCAGGCTCATTACAACATTAGGGTGGAAGGAGAAGCCGGGAGACGATCTCAGGAAGTGGGTTTATGTCTTATTCAGCATAAAGGAGAAACTTGACAGTAATGACCTTGTGAAGAACCTAATAGTCTAGAGTGACTCTTGATGCGTTGATGCTGAAAGCTTTATTCGTCATTCAACTCTTCAAACTATCAGACTTAGCTTCCTGAAATCTGGATATAGTTTCCTAATCCTGTGCTAATCTGGAAAAGAGAACACAAACAGAAAATAAAGCTACAGAAAAGTGTCGTGGCTTAACACGAAAGAAATATTGATAAAGAAAGAAGATAAGTTTTCTATTTTTATGCGCTATACTATAACCCATCACTGAGGTTAAAATAAATGATTTAAAAAGCTTATTGCAAAAGATATGGCATTTACACAAAATTAACGGGAGATGTAACAGTAGAAAATAACATAGACGGGTATTCTGGTTTAGTATTTGATTTGTCAAAAGATTGAAGCTCACAGTCAAATATGTCATTCATGTTGGACTGTGGCATTGAACACTCCTAATGTCTCAATCCCAACTGAAGAAGCCTCATCAAGTTTTGATTCAGGGCTTCAGAGACAAGTGTGTATGTATGTGTTAGCTGCAGAACGTCGCTTATGAGACATAGATTGATTGATTTGACGACCGAATGGCGTAGTGGCTTGTGTAACGGACTGCTATTCCAAAGGTCACGGGTTCGATTCCCGCTCAAGTCAAACATTTGTGTGCATGAACATTTAATGTTTGATTTGGTCTGGGTATTTCTATGTAAAATAAGTATGTATTTACAAAAAAAAAAGTATATATGTATTTATATCAGTTATCTAGTACCCATAGTACAAGCTCTGCTTAGTTTGGGACTAGATGGCGTTGTGTGAATGTGGTAGAATATTATTATTATTATAGATCTCATAACCATAGAGACATATAAGAAATGTTATTGTACCTTGGAATTATCCACTCGAGGTAAATTTTCTTATTCCACATAACAGATAATTATATTTAAAGTGGTAGTTTATTAATAAATGAAGTGTAACATAATTATACTACAATACAGTAGCCTGCCATAGTTTTCTTTAAAAGTAAAGTTCTGTGAACGAATGAACTGCCCTTATCACTGTGAGATATTCAAATAGCTAGTGTAATTTATGTAGTTCAATTAAAATGAGTACCTACACAAAAATAAGACAAGTTGACATGCAGTGAGGATTTTATTGCATTCTGTAAGTTAAGAAAAAGTTCTAATACTATTTTATTTTTGTTTCAGTGGAGAGCGCTCTGTCAGAATTTTACTAAAGGTTTTAGTTAATTTTAGTAAATTTATCAGTGCGGAATTACTGGAAGCAATCAGTTTTAAATCATCCATGTAAAGGAGGTGGGATATAACCTTTCCACCTCTCTGCAAGCGATAGCCTAGCCCTGAACCCTCCAACATAGTGCTGAGAGGATTCAAAGCCAAGCAAAACCACAAGAGACTTAAACTATCACCCTGAAATATACCCCGCTTAATCATTATATATTCGCCATCGCCTTGAGATTGCCGACATCCTGGATAGCAAAGGACCGTTCTCCATAGCCGCATACATGTCTCCATAAAAGTGCATAGAGTTGTATCAATCTTGTACAACTCCATCAACCTCAAGAGCCACGTATGCGGTACAGAGTCATAAGCCTTTTTATAATCTATCCAACATGTCGCCAGATCTTTTCGGTTACGACGAACTTGTTAGTTAATAGTCATATCAATAATCTTGCTCTTTATTGCCACGTGCCCCTCCTCTGCATCCATTCTAAGAGTGAGACATAATAGAGTTGTTCGTTAAATGAGATGTTATCTTCACTCTCAGAATGGACGTTAGTAATTTATATAACGTCGGAAGACACGTTATTGGCCTATAATTTTTAGGATCCGTGGCACTACCAGATTTATAGACTAGGTGAGTTACAGTCACAAAAGATGGAAGCGAACCCGATTCTAGGCATGATTGAAAATGAGATGCCAAACGTACATGTGAGCTACGGAGCCACTTTATCCAAAAGTTATCAGCCGTCCGTCCGGTCCCGCTGACTTCCAATTCGGTAGCGAACGAACTGCATAAGCTACATATATCAATGTCTGAAATTGATACTGGCTCCATTGTATTGATTGATTCACATGATCGTTCGACATTTCGGAGCCATTCACCCTCTGTGTGAGTGATAGGCAATTATATTATTAATAGGATTATACTGCAGAATATCTTCAAATACAGCTTTTTTTCATGAGACAATACAAATATATCATCTTTAGAGGTTACTCTGGCAAGTGCCGCGCCCGCCGGCCACTGGCACCCGCGACGGACGTGCGGCCTGACGGCCAGAGGGGCCGGGGAGCTATCTAAATCCCAGATATAGTCTAAGATATTCGACTCCTTTGGGCGTGATTTTGACTGACTTTAAACACTCAGAATTCGATCAAACTTTGTAGATATATCGAGGACCGATGACAATACACTAATTAAAAAAATTTTTAAAAAAAAGTATATAAACTAAAAAATAGAAAATAAATTTTAATAAATTTGAAGTTTTTACGCAATGTGAGTGCATAAAAACTTTACTGTTTACAACCTTGTATTACAAATCTTGGCTTTTCACTACTATAATAGGCATGTATTTTACATTATAATCCTTTCTTTTAAATAACTCTCTCTAGTGAAAACTGCATCATAACCTGTTGCGTAGTTTTAAAGATCCAAGGAGGACGTGAAACAACTTCACTTTATACTACTCTCGTACGTCAAGAAACTCGTACATCATTGTTCCGTGGCAGCTTGCAATATTAAAACCATTTTCACTCTGTTATTACTCATCATAATTTCAAAACGAATTGACCAATTTGAACAAATCAAAAAGTAATGTACACCTTAATATGTAGCCTAAATTACTAATTTAAGGTTTATTTAGATAAGGATTAATATTATGATACTGATAGAAATTGATAGAATCACTTTTTGTTTTGATCCATCATATAGTTGACTAGTGTCAACAAAAAAATGGTTAATATTGCTATAATATTTCGATATACCTCCTGTTGGACTTTTATTGTGCGCATTGATGAGTACGTTCCAAATATATCGATATTTTTTTGGACTATCGATTGATTTTGCAGCGCATGCGAAGTAAATAAATATTCTTGGCAATTTTTTATACCTGGCTTCAACATATCGTAATTTTTATAGGTAATTAAGTATATTTTCAAAATTAAATATAGCCTAAGTTACTCGCTGATAATGTATTTTTCTATAGGTGAAAGAATTTATAAAACCCGGTCCAGTACTTTCGGAGCCTATCCAGTCACAAACAAATTGAGATTATTAATATGACATATTAACAATCTTAGCAAAAACATAAACAAAACAATCATAGCTTTCCTATTTGTAATGAAAAAAGTATGTTCATTATTATTCACCCCCTGATTTCATTTTTTTAAAAGACTTGTTTTTAAGTTTAAATTTCTTGTCACGAATAAGTGTTATTTTGCCTATTATCAACACAAGACTGAGGAGCAACACGGAATTTCTCGTGTGATTGACAAGATTTCTATGCAGTATAAAAGACGACTCCGCTGTCTTTCATAAACGCAGGCCTGTCACGTGACAGGTGACGCCATCTGTCACCCTACCAAAAGGAGGCCGCGGTGGCGGAGAGACGCGCTACGGAGCGTGCGCTCCCTTGCACCCTTGCTCCCTGCACAAGGGAACATGGAGGTTCCCACACAGGAGGTGGTCATCTACACGCCGTAGATGGCCAGAGGTACGTTGGGGTACCAGGGATTTCCTTTCTAGGATACACTTAGTTCCCCAGCTACTGGTACCTGAGACGGCTTGTAGTTTTAGTCGTTACAAAAACACTGTTAAAAACACTCTTGGCGTAAATCGCTTCTTACGTGCTTATATGTTTGCTCCTCCAAGTTATTAGACTTTCTAAAACTGAAAGATTTTTTTAAATCAGACCGTTGGTTCCTGAGTTTTGGGAGTTCAACCAATAAAACAAACTCTTCAACTTTTTAAAATTGGTATAAATTACTTACCAGTACAATTTTCTCATGAGGAAGTTGACGAAGACATATGAGTAGACTCTCAGCAGGTGTTTTAGGACATCCGGTGCGTTCGGCAATAGTGTCCGCATGTTTTGCAGGGTCTGGTCTAATGGCTCCCGGAGAAAGCGGTGTTCCTGAGAGCGCAGCCACGCCAGTAGCACTACGACCTTCAGGAGACATAGCTAAAAGAGATGCAGCGCTGGCTCCGGAACCTTGGCCCATGACGATCACGCGTTTTGGATCACCACCGAAGAATTGGATATAATCTTGAATCTGAATTACAGAGAGCATACGTGGACTAATTCTGTGCTTTTAAATTTTAAGGGCTAAAGGGTAGAAGACGAAAGGTCGCAGACTTTACCATCGTTGCAGTGAATGTAAGTTGCCTTGCGCCTTCACAACCACTTAAAATTTTTCTAAATACGTGGGGTAGGGTTAACATACTCTAAGCAACCTTTATAGCTTTATAAGTATGCATTGCCCAATTTCGTTGAATATTAACATACAATTTGAAAAAGAAAATTAGTTAGGTATTAGCTAATTTAATTAATTTCGTACCCATAGCATGGCTGTGTGCAAGTCGAAGAGGCCAACGTTTCCACTAGCGTCTTTCTGGTTAGTGCTGAGATATCCTAGAGATCCTAAGCGGTACTGAGCAGTCACCAGAATCGTGTCTTTCTGACTTAGGTGTTGACCCTAGAAAATAATATCGATTCCACTTAAAAGCAGTGTAGTGTGAAACATAATCGTAACAGATTTACATAGTAGTTTGAATACTCTTTTTGTATTCTTATCGCCTTACAAATATCCTTGACGTTAGAACACCAAGATCAAGTATAGGCGATAAATGTCAATTTCCTTACCACGCCAGCGTCAGCGGGGAACACAGGCCTGGAGGTAACAGGTGAGGCCAACTATAGATGTAGCAGAAGCAAGCAGGGGTGGCGCATCGACACGCTTCGGAACGGGCGGGCTCCTCAGAATGAGGAGGAGACAGGATGGGGAGACCATGGTCCCCATACATGAGGAGGCTAACTATAAGGCACTGATGGCCCACTACCACTTTCCTCCCTAGGTTACACCTGGTTCCGGCTACTGGCTACGGCTACTGGTACCTTTTTTTTTTTTTTTTTTTTTTTTTTCCGTGCGGAAATCCCCTCGGATACCACCTGTCGGTGGCATGTCGGACTCGAACCGACTAAAACCGCACGCCTTCGCCGGGTACTAATAGCCGGGGAACCAGGTATACCCTAGAAAGGAAGGCCCTGGTGCCCCGAGCGGCTACTGGTACCTGCGATTTTAGTCGGTTGTGTTCGACATAATCACGGGGGGATATCCCGCACGAAAAAGGAAAGACGACGAAGATTTTACAATTTTTTATTAGGTTTCTAGTTACTACAAAGCCATTAAGCTAACCGCAGACGAACGAATAGACAGACGGTCGAAACATAAGACAAACATTTTTATAAATAAAAGTCTTTATCTTGTGGAGGAGTTCATCTATAAATATAAAATTAACGAGCTGCAATTAATTGCAAAATTGTTTTATAAGGACATTCCCTTATTAATCAATTAGCCAGATACTGATTTGGCTTGATAGTCATCTACCCCATAGGGTGGATGACTTCACAAAATATGTGTGTATTTACAATAAAACTAAAGTACCTGGATGATGGATCTAAAAATGAAACCTTGCTAGATCGATTAATCAGATCGAGATTCAGATTATGTATATATATATATATATATATATATATACAAGAATTTTTTGTTAAAAGGTATTAGATAAGTATTTTATCAGTCAATCTAGCTATCATAGAACAAGCTACGCTTAGTTTGAAAATAGATGGCGTTCTGTGTCATCATCAAGCTGCAGGAAGTCGTCAAGGTTTAGTCAAAAGTCAGTTGTGGGGATGTCAAGAACACTAAAAACCATTTTACAATAAGTTCAGTTCTCTTGCGGAGCTTACAATTTAAAATCGTTTTACTAGAAAAACTTTTTCGAATGCCGCAATTTCAAAGTCGAAATAGAAAATCAGAGTTCTACCAGTTATTACAGAGAAGGTCCTATTTTAGAAGGCTATGCTATCTAGTACTGTATTGCATGTTGCTAAATTTTTATGATTTTCTTTACTTTACCGACCGATGATTTTATTTTATATAACAAAATGAAAAATATTTTGCGAACTTAGTACTTCCCGCGATTGATCAAAAATCCTGTTTTAATTATTAGAATACAATGAGGATTCCGACTACCTACTGAGATCGATCGAATGCTTTATGCGTAACGTAATTTAGTACTTACACCGTAAGCAGCTGTTGAACCTGTCATATAATTGCCCCCGTGAATAAAGAATACAACAGGACTACCTGAAAAGATAAATAATGGAAAGAAATGAAATAAAAAACAGTGTATTTCGACCATTTGCGTGTAAAACATAAATCTCACAGAGAACTATAAGTAATCTATAAGTAAAAAAATAATCTACTTTTATGAACACATTTAATTTTAAAATGTTTATACCAAACAAGTTTAAAGTCCACCTAATGTTAATCGGTTAACATTACTCGTGGACGCTTGCAACTCCATAGGAGACTCATGCTGCAAAATTAAGTCACGTCATGTAATCAACAAAATACACTAATTGCTATTGTTGTAATTTTTTGTTGGGTAATTGAAAAGTGAGATGGTGTGCCTACCTACTGACCATATTTTGGTACCTTTTTTGGATTCAGTTTAGGGTTGTTGAGCCCCTAGATCCGTTTTTGGATGAAAGCTTCTATGAATATGATGATATGGACTATTATTGTAATTTATTTCCCATTTAGCATAACGTACTTGCCTATATAGTGTTAACATGTGACATAACCTAAATACATAAGTAATAATTATTTTATTGTTTGAGGCTTGCGACTATTTATAGGTTTGTTGGACCTATTAGTTTTAGTTAAATTAAATTTACAGTGTCATATATAGGTCTGGTCTCATTTTCTAGCGGACAGTTTGCTTCAAATCTAATCTCTAAACTGAACAATAAAACAATGAGTGAAAAACCCCACGATATAACTTTTTTACTTTTACTTCTTTTACTTTTTGAACTTTTTTACTTTGTAACCAATTTTCACTATCATTCAAAATTATTTGTTACGCAAAGTAAAAAAAGGAGCACTCTCCTTATACATTTTTAAATTTCGCATTCAAAATTCATAATTTGGCATCTTCGATCAACACTAGCAACTACTAAGTAAGTACTATTATTGATCGAAGTTTGGCATAGAGCAACACGGTAGGGAGTAGCCATACGCAGGCACGGTACAATTATAATACAGTACTCCAACTTCATACAAACGGACGAAACGCGAGCTATACCTACGAGCCTCGATCTCGGGGTGCGCTCGGGGCGCAGAGAGTCACGGCTGTACCGCAGTGTCGAACGGACGGTGTGTTGTTTTTTTAACAATAACCGCGCGATTTTTTCTCTAAAAATCAGTTAATATGACGAGTAGGAAATATTGTGCTGTTTTTGGTTGTATGAATTCGTCAATAACGCATCCAGACATAAGTTTTTTTAAATTACCTCTAAACTCTGAAAGGTAAGACTATAAAATAATTTTACTTACTAGTAGGTAGGTGCATAATGTGTGTCTTTTTAATTGATAAGTATTTCCTTTTATCTCACGAAAAAAAGGTGTTTGGATTAATAAATAAAGCGAATAGAAAACGGAGAGTTATTGAGACGAGTGAAATAGGTAGTTATATGCGGTTCTGAATGAATCATGATACGGTAGGTACCTACCTACTTACGCTTGTGTTAAAACTTCGGTGCATGTGTGTTTTGTTACTTTGCATAATTCAAAGTAAAGACGTGGTACTTTATTATTAATAATATTTGTTTATTATCTGTGTGTATGAATATTACTAGAATTTTTTTTTTCCGTTTGTGTGTCAATTGATAGTTTTCAAAATTTTCACAAAGTGTTTCTGCTGCTGCTATAACAACATATACCACTAAAAACTGGTTTTATTTTCTCGGTATTAACAATAACAGTTAGACTCATATATAATATTTAGATGTTTGAGTGTTGTGATTTTAAAACATTCGTAGTCAGCTGTTCAGCTTTTTAATAATTAATTAATTGGTGACCAAAGAATTTTTGATACCTGACACCACGCAGATTTTTTTCTTTAAAAAAAAATGTTATGCAATAGCTTTACCGCGGCAGTCACCGAGAGTGCCACATTTATTTATTTTTTCAGACATCTTCAATGGTTGCAACTGATACGGCGAGATGATTTGGAAAACAAACCTAACTTTAGTTCCTACCAAGTTTGTGAAAAACATTTTAATTTGGAGGTGTAATTACAGTGTATATGCGTGTGGTTAGGTGTTTGTGGCCTTACTTGGTTTCAATTTTCGCGTTAATAATAATATATATTGTGCTTAACCGTTTAGGAATTGCTCTGTTTCGTCATAATTCAGGTTTTGGAGGTAGGATTTAACAGTCTTTGACAGTAGATGTTTGGGCAAATGATAGATAGGGCACACTGCATTAAGCTTGTTATAAACAGATGGACCAAGGTAGGAAGAAAATCTTTTAAAGAAAGTTGAGCCCGCAGGAGGGATTGAACAAATTCGGTCTTTACGACGTTTGTTAATCGGTAAAAGCGGTGTGAGACGGTGTTGTAATTCTGTTAGGTGTAATAAAAATAGTTGTCTCACACTGAGTAAATTGCACTTCTTATAAAGCTCGGTTGTTGGAAATAAAATAGGCCTGAATGTAGCAACTTTTAAAATAGCACGATAAGCTATTTCCAGTGGTCTTAGAATTGTTATAGCTGCACCTCCCCAGCAAGGAATACAATAAATTATTATGGAGTGACAGAATGCATAATACACGTGCCGGAGAACCGCTTGATTGGCTACGTGTCGTAAGTTTTTGAAGACATATATTAGTTTACGAACGCGTCCCGAGAGAGTGTCAATATGTTGTCTAAATTTAAGGTGTTTATCCAAGATAATGCCGAGGTATTTAATTTGGTTAACTGGAGTTATTGCTAGGCAGTTGCAATTCGGTTGAAGTTGAGACTGACAATAGTGAGCTATAAGATTTATAGGGTTTTTAGGTTGAGATAGTGGGGTAAGCGAGAAGGTCATAAAATTTGTTTTGATAGTGTTAAGAGTTAGAGTGTGTGAGGTAAGCCAGGTTAAAACAGTACAGAAACCTCCTGGAGCCGCAGTTTCAAGTTCAGACCATGTGTTTGCATGAAAAGTTATGGGCGTAAGACGACTGCAAAAGATACAATGTTTGCGTGTGGAATGATCAAGTTACAAAGGTCGTTAATAAAGACAAGGAATACAGTAGGGCCTAAGATACTTCCTTAAGGCACACCGTAATGGATGGAAAGTTCATCGCCAATGTAGTTGTTGATATTAACAAGTTGTGTACGATTCGTTAGGTAGCTTTTTAGTAGTTCTAGTGGTGGGCCCCTGATTCCTGCATTTTCAAGTTTGATTATGAGGGTAGAAATTGGCACAGTATCGAAGGCCTTGGCTAGGTCCAATAAAATAGTCAGAACTTTTTTTTTCTTGTTAAGTTTTTCCACAATGTTATTAACTAAATTTTGGACTGCATCACACGTAGATTTGTTTCTACGGAAGCCAAATTATTGGGTTGAAAGCAACTTAAAGTGCTCCAGGTAGCTGATCAGTCTCTTATTTATAAGTCGTTCAAGTATCTTGGATAAAGCACTAAGTACAGCTATGGGTCGATAGTTGTTTGGCGACTGTCCGTCTCCACCCTTAAAAATCGGATGAATGATGGCTATTTTGAAAGAGGTAGGAAAAATAGCTGTTTCAAAACAGAGGTTGAATATATAGCTTAATGAGGACACTATAAATACATTATATCGTCTAAATGACGCGTCATCGTCATCTTTGTTATGTAGATGTAGATGGTAGTTGCTGTGTGTGTTGTGCTGTTCCGTTCTCTTCAATATCCATTATTATTATTATTTATTCTTATAAAATAACTAGCTGGTGCCCGCGACTTCATTCACGTAATTTGAAAAGCGCTACCTTAGTGAGTTCGATTCCCGGACCAGGCAAAATTTTATAGGGTTTTTCTGAGAGGAAAAACAGCCTTAGTTACTACTTATATAGACAGCTACTTAGTAGTAGAATATTTTCAAAATCGGTCAAGCCGTTTTGAAGATTACCCGGAACAAACAGACAGACAGACAGACAAAAAATATTTTAATTGGTTTTTAGGCATAGGTATCGTGCAAATAACTGTGTAAAGATGAAAAAACCTATTATTTTGACATTAGAAACAGACAATCCAATTTTTTTTATTTGTAAAGATTATATAAGCTTGGTTTGTAATGTTTAATCTTATTTTTAACTTCATTCGTTTCTGAAATCTAACAATACAATATTTACGAGTATTAACCCATTTTATTAAAATTACTAAGTGCGAACATTGTTTTTATTTATTTATTGCAGGTTTCCTAAAGATCCGAGTTTAAGGGCTATAAGAAGAACTGTTGTAATAACAGATACCTTACCTGGATACCTACAAGATACCGTGTCATTTGCTCATTTAATTTCAAGACCTCTGAGTTTTGAATGTTGGAACAATAGAAGGATGGAACATTGTTAATAAAACAGCTAACCCACAGAAATGTAATCGACATATTTATACAAAATTAATCCCGTTACAGTTGTTACAGCCTCGATTACACTGTTATTACACAGAATGTGTATATGTGTGTGTGGAATTAATAATGTATTGTTGTAATTGTTCTGTGTGAGTGACGTACTGACAGCCTATTGTTTTTGTATGGGAGTCTGCAAATGTGAGCGTGGTCACAATTCCCCCCGACAAAAAATTACAGACTATCTTGTATCGCGAAAAGACGCTATAGCTACTCCCCTCCGGTCCACCGGTGGTCTGTGTTGCTCTATGTAATTTGACATAAACGCTACACGCAGTTAAGGCCATATTGCTCTGTGACGTCAATCGGGCGTGTAAACAAATGCGATGATATTTTGTATGATATTTTTCATTTATATGTCAGGTGTGATATTTAAAAATTCGTTATTATTCTACTTTTTGCACTGGTATTCTTGCAATTATGCACTAGTATTAATACAATTATGCAAGAATACCTACTAGTGTAAAAGCACCGGACAAATTTTGACGATTCAATTGACACATTTTAATTTAGGTACATAGTCGTATGACATAAGAACAAGGCAGCCACTATTTCACGGTGTTAAAAACTGATATACTCGTAATAGAAACAGACAAAAACTGAGAACTTTGAAGTGATTGATTTATTTATTTGTTATTTTATGAACTAAAACTAAAATTTTCGGGCTAGTTTTTGTCTCAGCTATCACAATAATATACGTATTTCTAGATTTTTCTAATGCAGAATAAAATACCCTATTACAATTGCAATAAAAAATCAAATAGGTGTTTCACATACACATTTCGGTCAAAAGTAATTCAAATACTAGCTAACCCTGTCTATTATAATACTTACCTTGTTCCTCAGCAGGCATCTTAGGAGCATAAATGTTAAGGCATAAGCAGTCCTCGTGGCCAATGACACGTTGTGGGTAATAAGGGTCTCGCTGAGGGCATGGCAGACATTGATTTACAGCCATCATCTCACCAGCGAGGTATTGTCGGACTGGACGCTGGAATCTACGAGGGCCCACAGGGGGTTCTGCATATCTGATGGAAAGTCATTAGGGTTTTTTACTGGCTTAATCTACGCTTAATGTACGCCTAGTAATCTAGTGATGTATTATATTATAATATATATTTGTATTGTCATAGTTCTGTATGTAGGTATATGTGATTTATGTATTGCGCTTTCCTGTAAAATTTGTTAAAAAGCACTTACGTGGTTTTGATTTGGGTCAGCCGTATGGTCCTATTCTAGCTGAAAATTAGGTACCTATTGCACAATTTGCCACATGTCTGTGCTATTGGAACTAGGCCGGCTCAACTAGCCAGACATACCTGCACGCACAATGGGCCGACTACGAATCTAAATGCGAACACAGGGCCAACACCTATTATACGTGTACTTTCACGGGAATTATGCATGCGAATAAAAAGAAATGTAATTGCGCTGTTAGTGTATATTTTGTGATCGTGATTCGCATTTATTTGGTAAAGTTTAGAACCGACTCAAAAAAAAATTCGTGTTTGTACTACTGATCACAGTGGTCATGATAATCGAAAAAATGGCTGTAGGTCAAGTTCAGTTGGATAGCATCTGCATAGCATGCAATTGATCGATCTAGGAATTATCAGTGTCTAGATAACTTACTGCAATGCGCTTCAAAGAGGAGCTTATAAGGAGCTTCCCCCATGTTGTTTCATTTTATTAATAATTTAGGTAGGCATTAAGGGCGGATGGATAGTCTGTTGTAATCTGCTTGTCAGATAACCAGCGGAAATCATTTATCAGCATCCGCTAAACAACTCATTCGAAACAGTTTGTATAGTTTATTTTGTAAGTTATGTACTGAATTATCAAATTAACTGCACGGCTAGCGTAGTGATTCAAGCGGTCACCTCGTTCCTTCCTACTACTCTGAGTGTTCAGGGTCCAGGGTACATGGGATAACACTTTGTGTGATTCACAAATTGTTGTTCTAAGTCTGGGTGTTTAGTGTCCGTTTTATGAATGTTTGTTAAGTCCCGGCGATATATTCTTCAGACCTCAGTTAGCTTTTTTTTTAATCAGTTATTCTTTTTATTTTGGCTAAAACCACATGGTACACCGCAGATAAGTTGGCAAGGAGGGGCTCGGCAACTCCGGCTACCGGCCCAACCATATCCTGCTACTGCCTTTCAACCAACTTCGATCCTGGACCAGACAACGGAGTCATGTAGCATGCAACCGGAGGTGGAAAAACTCACCCGGCTGCAGACAGTCCAAACTGGTGCTGACTGAAGTCACACCATGACTCACCTGCAGACTGATCAGTCTTAGCAAAGACATTCGAATACTTATAGGAACTATAACAGGACACCTAGCCCTGACCCGACAACTATTAACCAGTAATGCGACGGACAGTACTCTTTGCAGGGGATGCCTGAAAGCAGACGAAACGGCCGCCCACATAATCTTGAAATGCGAGAGAGCGGCCACACAACGGGCAAGTGTCATCCCTGATACAAAATCGCTCCTAGAAGCCTGTAAACGCCCGAGGATGCCTCTGCGCTTCTGGAAGTAGCTTGGTTGGCTTTTCTAGCTAACCTTTCCTTGACGCGTAAAGGACCATTCTTGAGTCTAAATGCGGAAACCGGAGCCTAAAATCAATACCAACCACGTGGTACTTTAAAAATCCTTACTCCTTCCTAACTTACATAATTTACTAACAATAATGCCTCAAATTTTTTACTAAAATAGAAATACACTACTTATACCATGTCTTATTCTTCAGTTTTGACATAAAAAATATCATAAATGTATCTATATATATGTATTTGCCCGCGGCTTTCGCCTTATTTAGTGTTTCTAACTGACAATAATTCACTTAATCAGTGCAAGTAAAATTAAACTTCCAATTTCAAAATATTGTTTAGATAATTGGGAGCACTGTTCGTTATTCCTAATTTAAAATTATTTTTACCTTATACCGAAGAAGCTGTAGTATCCCAGCCGATCATCCTTGATTCCTTCAATTCGAGCACTAAAACCATGAAGCTGAGTAAAGATCACGGCTGCATCTGGCTCGGGAGGCGAAGCCGGTTCACCACCGACAACCGCCTGTGCAGGTCGTGCTGTTAAGGCTACCAATACAAGCGCAATGTGCCACATTGTTGATAACTTCGGACACACGCAACGCTCGGTACGACAAAACCCAGAATACTGATATTATAAAGCAGGGATTTAAAGTTCATTTTGGTTAATGCCCACGCACCCGAAGATCTTTGTGATAAAGCTGAATCCTGTGTTTGATTAAATAATTCGTAAACCGTAAATTTAACGTCGAAACAGATACCTAACTATATTTATTTCATTAAATGTAATAACGTCGGCAACATACATAGCCATTTGAATAATTTTGAACAATATTATATAAATAATAAGTCTGAATGTAGCTAAATGTTCTGCTATTACTTTTAATCAAAAAAATTAATTTTGTTGTGGAACCTCGCATATGATGTGCTCCTTCGCACCAGTCTGCCCTCTGGCCTTAGTGTCGTCTGCTTTGCTGATGACACTTTAATACTGGCTAGAGGGTCACACTTCGACGAGGTGCTTCGGCTCGCCGAGCATGGGGTGGCTTGTGTCGTGGGAAAGATTCATGAGCTGGGTCTGTGGGTGGCGCCACAGAAAACTGAGGCGATATGGTTCCATGGCCTACGTAAGCGCCAGGAACCACCCAGCTCATGCCTCCGGGTGGATGACGCTGAAGTCCAGGTGGGCCGGTACATGAAGTACTTAGGCCTCATCCTGGACGGTCGGTGGAGCTTTGAAGAGCACTTCGTGCGATTAGTCCCCCGAGTGCGCGGGGTAGCGGGTGCACTGCATCGCCTGCTGCCCAATCTCGGGGAACCACGGGAAGAAGTTCGCCGTCTCTATATGGGGGTCGTGCGATCCATGGTCCTCTATGGGGCGCCCGTCTGGTCTAATGACTTGGCGGGTGCCTCCCGCTGCAAGGCTCTACTCAGAAGCCTACACCGGTTGATGGCTATACGGGTCGTACGATCTCGTTTGAGGCGGCGACGGTCCTGGCGCGATATCCACCCTTCGACATTCTGGCCGACATGGACGCGATAGTCTATGACCAAGTCCGTTCTGTCGGTCGGAATGGTGAAGAGGCCGCGCCGGATCATGAGCCCGGAATGCTACGACGGAACGCGCATACCCAGCTCCGCAAGCGTGGCAGGCACGGCTTGTAATCCAGGGCTGTGCTAGCCAACGCGCCGTAGGAGCCGTTCTGCCGAGCTTCGAAGCGTGGGTAGGGAGGAACGACTGTGTCACCTACCGATTGACTCAGATGCTTACCGGGCACGGTCTCTTCGGTGAGTATCTGAATCGAATTGGACGGGAGGTTACGGCACAATGCCACCATTGCGGGTCCGACCGGGACTCTGCCCAGCACACGCTGGAGGACTGCCCTGCATGGGAGTTCGAACGTCGAGTCTTGGTCGGTGGTCACACTCCGGTGCGGCCGGGGGGTGTCGTCTAAGGCGGGACGCCGTTGCGCCTTTTACTCTGTATAGAGCAGTGAGAGGCGCGGTAGCGTCCTGCCCCAGGGTGACTACGGTCACTCCGGGATGTGCCTCAGACATGAGGTACGGCAGGGAGGACTCCAGAAGTCGCCGATGCGTTCCTGGAGCTCCTCCCGACTGGCGAGGTAGGCCGCCGAGGTATTTAGTCGGTAGACCGGTTCTCCGGGAGTCCCACACACGCCCTGCGTTTCCCCAATCTAGGGTATGGTGCGTAAAGCATACCCCGCGTGAAAAAAAAAAAAAAAAGGTATCATTTTCTACCCTTAAAGAATAGACGAGCTGTGTCTGATGTAATGACACTTCTGAAAATTGACCATGGCAATATCGATAGCTCAGCCTTACTTGATTTAATTTAAAAAAAAAATAAAAAAATAGTTTTAAAAAGCTAAAAACACCCTTTTTAAAGAAAACCAAACTAAAAAATAGAATATAAATTTTAATAAATTTGAAAAAAAAGCGTTGGGTGCCTGTTGTCAATAGTAAAAAGCACCTCACGCTTTTATTCAAATTTATTAGAATTTATTTTAACACTATTTTTTTTGTTTAATTTTTAGTTTCTACCTGATTTGTGTTAACACTTGGAACCTATTTGCGAATGCCTGTCAATAGTAGCGATGTTATTAGGTTTAATTTCTAGAAAGTATATTTTATGCTGTTGTTATTCCGAAGCTAATAAAATAAAAATATTGTGGTTTCCGAGTTGGAACGAATACTCGTATACCCTATTCAAAAGTTCATTCCCAAAAGTTCTCACCCGATGTTGTTAGACTGTTTTTTTTTTAATAAATTGAAATCTTTGCTATTGCTTTTGGCCAAGTGGCCGCTGCCAGAATTGATGACAATACAGGCCCGATTTATGGCATTTTGCATTACTCTTACCAAAACTTCCGGCGATTGGTTCCCGCATTTCTGATGGCAATTTATTTATTTATTAAAAACTTAGTGCACATGTAGTACAAAGGCGGACTTAATGCCATGGGGCATTTTCTCCCAGTCAACCCTCAGATGATTTAGAAATATGATACGGTAAGTGCAAAAATAAAATTTTAATTTAAACATAGTAGAGGTCCAGAAGTATACAAAATACATGCACAATATATAAATATTCTCTTTGAGAGCTTCAAGAGTCTGAGGCTTGTTGCCTCGTCACTTCAAGAAACCCTAGAAGTCTACAACGTTTAAATCCGGCGATCTTGTCGGTCAGTGCAAATCATCAAAACGAGAGTTCAGAATTTCGGTTGTGGGTCGTGCAGTACGCACCGTTGGTCCATCCTGTTGGAAGCATATGTTCTCCAGTCCCAATTCGTCCATTTGAGGCAGGAGAAAGTCGTTGAGCATGGCTCTGTAGCACTCGCTGTTCACAGTAGTCGTTTGGCGTTTTCGAAAAGATAAAGCCCGATGACGCCTCTATTGTGAACACCATACAGTAACTTTGAGCTGGTGTAATAGTCCCATACTCTTCTAGGGGAGCAGCTAAACTCCGAAGTGTTTGCACAGTGTCGAAATCTACGTCTAAATTTACGCTGCCCCAACACCACCGACGAATTATTACGTAGGAATATCTAAACAAAAGGCACGTGACTCCAAAATGGACAAAATATTTTTATTTGTAAACTTTATTGCTAAAAAAAATACAGTCGAATTGAGAACCTCCTCCTTTTTTTGAAGTCGGTTAAAAAAAGATACCTATACAATTAATTTTGAAATTTATCATCATTTAATAGTGAAGTGGTGATTATTATTTTGTATTGTTTCGCGGTTTTTCATATTACTTTATTAGTTTTCTGTATTAAAGTATTCCTTGTGAAGAAAGACCGGTTTTGTCAAAGCACAATCCCATGATATATCCGATGATTAGGTAATAACTAAAATAGACGTGTTTATGATGATCATAAATTGTTTAATACATATAATTATTTTCAATCTGAAACCCAGAAATGAAATTAGAATTCAAAATAGTTAAGAACTTTCCTGTTACTCAATAGGTAGGTATATGTTTTCATTCATAGGCAAGCATAGGCAATACTCCTATGGATAAATACCTATGTATTAGATATTAAGAATATAATTATTTTAAGTACTAGCCAAACATGTTATGTGGCTTATTATACACATACTTATATGTTTCTCAAGAATACAACGTAGTCATCAAATGTACTGCGAAAGAATAATACTAATAAATAAATATTTTTTTACAAACTTTTTGTAAACTAGGTTGTTTTCGTCTAAGTTTGTACAAAAAATTCTGTGCAGGTAACTAAGTAAAAATGATCTTCACAACAGTCAGTAGATACAGCTTAAACACGATACGTTGTCTCTTCTCATCGCCTTGCACCTTATACCTTTATCTTTCGGCATGATGAAATGTACTTTGTCGGTGCAGTTTTGATGCTATTTTAGCACGTAGGAAAGACACAATCTTAAAAAAAAAAAGTGCTTTTCCATGGTAATTAGTTGATTTTATCACTTACTTTTTAACTTTCAGTAACTTTATGAACCAAACACTTCGTTCTCTGTCTTCTTCTCTGACGTCGAATTTTGACTTTGCAGTAGCCTTGTTCATTCCCTGTTTTTGTTTTTTACTATCTAGGCCCTATAATACGTCACGCCAATTGCAGTTAAATATTCATGTACCTAATAAAATACACTCATAGAAATATCGACATCAGTCATCAGTCATAGCGTTATACAACAGGACTTGGATCGTATTGTACAGTGGACACAGGACTGGCTCATCCCACTAAATGCAACGAAGTGTACCGTTTTACATATGGGCCACAACAACCCGAAGTTGAAATACAAGATTGGTTCGGTGGAACTGAAACCTGTAAGTTCCCAAAGAGATCTAGGGGTAACCATCACACATAACCTCAAGTGGGATGTACATATCACAAATATAGTGAAGAGGGCTAATTCCATGCTGTATGTGGTTAGAAAAGCATTTAACATCATAACAAAAGACTTGTTTATAAAGATCTACAAAACATACATCCGCCCGCTCTTGGAGTACACATTTCAAATATGGAATCCATACTTCAAGAAAGACATAGAAATGCTCGAAAAAGTACAACGGAGGGCTACAAAAATGGTTATATCATTAAAAAACATGTCATATGAGGAACGCCTTATTGAACTAGACTTAACTACACTGGAGCAACGCAGGCAACGGGGAGATCTGATTGAAACATATAAAATATTAACTGGACACTACAATGTGAAAGACATTGGAAACCTCTACACTATGAATTCTAATACCCGATTGAGAGGACACCCATTGAAGCTCACCAGGTCTCCGTCTGTTAGCAACCCTAGGAGACACTTTCTACCAAATCGCGTGGTGACCATTTGGAATAGTTTACCGGAAAGTGTAATTAGTGCTGGATCAGTGAACATTTTTAAAAACAGACTAGACGAACATTAAAAAACAACAAAATGAACACAAGTGCAGTGATATGTACGCATCAGATCTGTGATCTGCTAGTGCATTATAGAATAATAATAATAATAATAATAATGGAACCTCACTAGCGATTTTCATTTTTCATTCAAAAGCTATGAGGCAATTGCAACTCTTAAAAT